TGATCTTCGCGCTCCCAGGTAAACTCTGGGCCCCTTTTTGAGTTCCAACGAACTTTAACGATAGGGATGCGACTTTGCTTTAAACGTTTCACTTCTCGGTCCATAATCTCTACGGGTTCTTCGACGAAGCGGAGATTGGTGTTTAGTTGGATCTCGTCTAACGGTATCGTATGGTTTTCGTCGGACATACACTTTTTAAGATTTAAAACATGAAACACATTATGCACGTTACTCAGCTCTTGAGGTAGTTTGAGTCGGTATGCTACCGGACCGACCCTATTGATAATTTCAAATGGCCCTATATACTGTGGGTTTAATTTTCCCCTTTTCCCAAAACGTATCATGCCCTTCCATGGTGAGACTTTGAGCATGACTCTATCTCCCACTTGAAATTTTAGTGGCTTTCTTCTTACATCTGCATAACTCTTCTGACGGTCACGGGCAACTTTGAGTCTTTCTTTAATTTGGATTATCTTTTCAGTGGTTTCATGAATTATTTCCGGCCCGGTGCGAAGCGTGTTGCTCGTGCGTTCCGTGGCTAACTGAGTATCTCCTACTTCTGCCCAACACAACGGTGATCTACACTTTCGCCCGTAGAGAGCCTCGAATGGTGCATCCTTTATGCTGGTATGATAACTGTTATTGTAGGAGAATTCAATGAGTGGCAGGTGAGTATCCCATGTATTTCCAAAATCAATCACACAAGATCGCAACATATCCTCTAAGGTTTGGATCGTTCTCTCGCTTTGACCGTCGGTTTGTGGATGGTAAGCGGTGCTCATATCCAGACGAGTCCCCAAGGATTTTTGTAATGATTGCCAAAATCTCGAAGTGAACCTACTATCCCTGTCAGAGATGATAGAGACGGGTATTCCGTGAAGTCTAACAATCTCCTTGAGATAAGTCCTTGTCAATCTCTCCATTTTATCAGTCTCCTTAATTGGTAAAAAGTGAGCGGACTTCGTCAATCTGTCGACCACTACCCAGATGGTGTCATAACCACTAGGTGTTCTTGGTAGTTTTGTAATGAAATCCATTGCAATCTTCTCCCACTTCCACTCAGGAATTTCTGGTTGTTGGAGCAATCCTGATGGCTTCTGGTGTTCTACTTTCACTTTAGCACAAGTTAAGCATTTGTTCACATATGTGGCGATCTCAGCTTTCATGTTTGGCCACCAATACAACTTCTTCAAATCTAAATACATCTTGTCTGATCCCGGATGAACAGAGTACCTTGTTTTATGAGCTTCGTCCATGACCAAGCTGTGGATATCACCAAACTTCGGTATCCAAATTCTGTTCATAAAATGTCGGGTTCCGTCGTTTCTTACTTCGAGTTGCTTTTCCATTCCTCTTAATGATTCGTCTGCGACATTTCTTCCTTCAGAATCTGGTTGACAAGGCTTGAGATGATCGTCATTGTCAGAGCTCGCACCCGACGAGGTTTGATATTTCCCTTACGACTCAATGCATCTGCGACTACATTTGCTTTTCCTGGGTGATATCGAATTTCGCATTCATAATCACTTAGCAATTCTATCCACCTTCGCTGCCTCATGTTTAACTCTTTTTGATCAAAAATGTGTTGAAGACTCTTATGATCCGAGTAAATAATGCACTTTGTTCCGTATAAATAATGTCTCCATATCTTTAATGCAAAAACTACTGCTCCCAACTCCAGGTCGTGGGTCGTATAGTTGCTTTCATGAGTCTTGAGTTGTCTAGAGGCGTATGCGATAACCTTGTCTCGTTGCATTAACACACATCCTAGTCCCTGAATCGATGCATCACAATACACTACGAAATCTTCTGTTCCTTTAGGCAGGGATAGGATCGGTGCACTACACAACTTCTGTTTTAGTTTTTGAAATGCAATTTCTTGTTGAACTCCCCATTCAAACTTTCGATCCTTTTGAGTTAGAGTGGTAAGTGGCTTTGCAATTTTTGAGAAGTTTTCAATAAATCTTCAGTAGTAGCCGGCAAGGCCTAAAAATTGGCGCACCTCTGTTGGCGTCTTTGGCGCCTCCCAATTCTTTACTGCTTCAATTTTTGCGGGATCTACATGAATTCCTTCATTGCTCACCACATGTCCTAGAAAATGTACTTGTCTGATCCAAAATTCGCATTTAGAGAATTTGGCATACAACTTCTCTTTCCTCAAAAGTTCCAAGATTAATTGTAGATGTCGACCACGCTCCTCCTTAGTTCGAGAATAGATCAAAATGTCATCTATAAATACTATCACAAACTTGTCCAAATATGGCTTGCAGACTCTATTCATGAGATCCATGAATACTGCTGGAGCGTTTGTCAATCTGAATGGCATCACTAGAAATTCATAATGACCGTACCGGGTCATGAATGCAGTCTTTGGGACGTCTTCGTCTAGTATCTTGAGCTGATGATATCCAGACCTCAGATCGATCTTCGAATAGTAGTTAGATCCTTGGAGTTGATCAAACAAATCATCGATTCTAGGAAGGGGATATCGGTTCTTGATGGTTAATTTGTTTAGTTCTCTATAGTCTATACACATCCGGAAGGACCCATCTTTCTTTTTAACAAATAATACTGGCGCTCCCCAAGGAGAAAAACTTGGTCTAATGAAGCCCTTGTCAAGGAGTTCTTGTAGTTGGCTCGAGAGTTCCTGCATTTCAGATGGGGCTAGCCTATAGGGTGCTCTAGCTACTGGAGCTGCTCCGGGGATTAGGTCAATTCTGAACTCGACCTGTCTGGCTGGTGGCAATCCTGGTAGTTCTTCTGGGAAAACGTCAGGATAATCGCATACTTGTGGTATATCCTGAATTTCTTTCACTTTACACTTCTTATCTACTACGTGAGCTAGGAAGGCGTAATACTTCTTGTACAGATATTTCCGTGCTTTTATGCAAGACATGAGCTTGAAGTTCTGACCCGACTTGTCACCATAGATGGTCAGAGTCTCTCCATCTGGTAAGGTTAGCCTGACTGCTTTTTCGTAACACATGATTTCCGCATGGTGATGAGACAGCCAATCCATACCAATAATAACGTCGAAGCTTCCGATTGACATTGGCATGAGGTCGACTTGAAAAGTACGATCGTTAAGCGTTAGGGTACAATTTCTTAAGATTTCAGTTGTACGTTCTATTTGACCATTTGCTACTTCTACTTCGTAAGCTACATCTAATTTTCTAGTTTCATGGTTTAATAATTCCTTAAATGTCGTTGTTATAAAACTCTTATCGGCTCCGGAGTCAAACAAAACTGTAGCATATAGGTGGTTGATAAGGAACGTACCAGTAACCACCGAGGGATCTAAGATTGCTTCCTTGTTTCCAATAACGAATGCCTGTCCACGTGCAGTGCCACCCACATTTCTTAATTTTGGGCAGTTACGCTTGTAATGCCCTGATCCACCACACTCATAACAATTTCCACTACTATTTCCGATTGACCCTACATTCACCTGAGTACCTCTTGCAATAGGCCTTGAGTCTTTGCAATATTTGTTGGTATGTCCATTCTTGTTACACTTGGTACAATAATAACATTCGCCAGGATGATATTTGCGACATTTGTTGCATTGAGGGTACCGTCCAGTACTGCTTGTTCGGTGAACTGGTGCTGGATTGGTTGCCATTGTCACTGCGTATCCAGTTCCAGTTCCTTGTTTCTTCCTTGACGATTGCCAAGAATCCTTGCCTCCCATCTTGCGCTTATTATTTTCAATCTTGGGTGCTTCAACCTTAGTATTTGTTGTTCCCCGACTGAGTTCATTCTTGACTAATCGACTTGCCAAGTTCCTGACACTTTCATAAGTTGTTGATCGTGAGCCCAACACTATTCCCCTTATTTGTGGCACCAAACCCCAAATGTAACGCTCTATCTTCTTGTATTCTGGGGTTACTAGAGTTGGGCATAATAGCGCGAGGTCGTTGAACCTGGTCGTATAAGCTTTGATGTCAAGGCCTTTCATCCTCAAATTCCATAATTCTTGCTCCATCGCTTGAATCTCATCTCTCGGGCAATATTCTTCCTTTATCATCATTTTCAGTTCTTCCCACGATAAAGAGTTTGCAGGAATAATGCCCAGAGTTTTTACTTGGTCATTCCACCAGTAAGGGCTGAGTCCATAAACGTACTCACAGCGAATCGAACTTTACTATCATCGGGACAGAAGCATATTTGAAATACGGATTCCATCTTTTCGATCCACCTGGTTAGTCCGATAATGCCTTCTGTCCCATAAAAATTCTTGGGTTTGCAATTAGTGAAATCCTTATAGCTACACGTTCGATGTGGTCCTCGGATATCTCCTTGAGAACTGCTGCCTTGTCCATTACCATTTCCACCATTACCCACTCCAGAGATGGCATTGCGAACATTTTCCGGTTGTGTCAGAGCAACCGCAAGTCGATCCGCTATCAATTGTTCTAACTCTGCCGCGGTTGTAGGCAGCCCAGCTTCAGGTGCGATGGGTATTTCACTTGGCCTGGATTGTACCCTTCTGGGCCTCCCGACTGTTCTTTCGGGAATAGCCGCCAGATTCGGGTGCAACCTTGTGCTTCTTCTTCTTTGTGACATGTTACTTAACTCCCTATTATATTTAACAATAACACATTAGTTGATTGTGTCGTGCTATATGGAAATTTTCAATATTACTTTTTCACTTTTCGATAAAACTTATTGCATTATTTGGGAATTTTACCAATTATAAAATTTACGCATTAAATTGATACCGAAGAAAATATGCATAATATGCTTCAATATATCATACATAGTGACATTACACACATCATTACATTAACTTTCGTAAGGTTTTTGGGAAGCAAAAGTTCTACTAATTATTACATCAATGGTCAAAAGTCCCAAAAATTGCAACGAGTTTTGCACCCTGTTATAACGTACTTTCCCAAAACCATGATAATACCAAACATTACATGCTTAATATATATAATCCTAGATGGTCTTCTACTACCACATCTGTCACCACCTTGTCACTATCTGGCTCTTCCAACTCATCCTTGTCGTAGGTAAGTCCCTAATGCCCTGGTAACTTCCGCAAGTTGAACTCCGATTGCATCTAGCCTCCCGTTTATGGTCATAATTTCTTCTTCACTAACCCCTACCCTAATAAGAGTCGCTTGAGCTTGAAGATCCGCCTCAACCATGAGGGTATCTTGCTGCATCCTAGTAGCGATTTCCGCGTCAAGCAACCCCCGCATCTCTGTTAGTGCATTCTGATGTTGGGTCAGCTGAGTCTCTAGTCTTCCTGCTCTCCAGGCTAGATGAGTTGTGTTATTTTCACCTTCTTTGATTTCCCTTGCCGATACCCTAGCCTGCTTCTCCAATTTCAAGACATGGTCGAACAATCCACTTAAAGATCCAACGTGATCATTGGGCAGGGGGACGCACTCCCGAGCCTTGCCCGTCTTCATATCGGGTGGTGATTCTCTCTCCCGAAATTCTTTCTTCTGCAAATGCGTTCAACCAGGATGGATTTCTTAGGTTCTTCCTCATGCTCTCAGACAGTGCGTGACCATGTTTCTGGATTCCTTTGTGGTTGAGGGTGCTTTTCCTGGCAGTCTGACGGGTTTTTCTAACACCTCTTAGAATACCCCTGTAAGGGCTTGGAGGGGAGGGCCTGGAGGTAGGGGTCCTTTCGGCCTCCATGGGTTCTTCATCCTCTGTGTCAGATTTTTCTTCTTCTATTCCTCTTCTTCCAATGGGTCTTCCATTGGCTCTTCGTCTTCTGTAGAGTTTCCTGATGCGACGAATTGATATTTTGTTTCTTGATCGGGATAGTAGGTCCCCGACCAGATGGGGGGTGAGCATGGGACTCCTTCCTTGTTTCTCCAGGTATTCATCTATACAATAGAAATAGAGTTGTTAATATTTAATTTTTATTCATGTAATTTGTTACCGACACCCATATCTTTCCTTATGACACATAATCTCCAAAATTTTAATGTATCAACCACTATGCCTAAGTTAAATGGTGCATTTGACCGGTCCATAATAAAACCTAGGTGCGCGAGCTAGGTTTAGTTGTGGCACGACATATATACCATAAAACTTTAGCGAAGTTTTTGATATAAAATTTTAGATTTTTAAGTTCCTTTTATTGATTGTTTTAGGTAATTATTCTCATTTTAACTATTATAATACTCAGGTATTTACATGTTTAGTAAATTAACTCTTTATTAGAGAAATCATGCCCTAGGCTATAGTTGTATATCTTAATGTGAAATACTAGTTCGCTATAGCTAAAGCTTTGATACCAATCTGTCACACCCCCAGCCAACGGCGGAAACACCGGGTGGGTGACGAAATTCGAATATCACAAACATAGCATATATCAAACATTAAACAACCACATAAAGTTTTACATCGCATACGACATAATCATATCTTACTTTGTTACATGTTTCATGACAAATCTTCAACGATTCAAAAAGAGGACATAAAACATAATTTAGAACAAAAATATAAGACGATGATTCCATACTCCTCGCGTGAATTTCTTGCTTTAATTTCCTGAGAATACATGTTAAAATACGTCAACAATAATGTTGGTGAGTCCTACAGGTTTTGACTCCATATATTCTTAAAATAACAAAAGGTCTCCAAAAAAAATAATTTAATGTTGAGATAGAAATCTTTGCCCTTTTCAAAACATAATTTGTCAATTCACCAAAAATTATTATTTTACTGTTGCATGTGTTGAAACACCTTAGTAGAAATCTCTCTTTGTCAATTTCCAAATGATAATTATATTGTCAGTGTTTTTTTTTTTTTTATTTATTTATTTATTTATTTATTTATTTATTTATTTATTTGAGAGCGAAGGAATACTAGATGATGTCATGACCGAACTCTTGACACTAAACTTTATTATTGCACCGACACCATGATAGGGCGCGCATGCTAAAGTCATTCACCTCGTAATAACGCAAGGTAATGTTCGATAATGCTAACGCCAGCACCAAAATTCATCTCGTCAGACGTAGTTGTAGCTAGCAACTCCAGGCGGGCGGTCGTACCGTATAAGATCAATGTTATGACACTTATACCTAGCGTTAGTCGTTCCCTCGAGGATTAACGGTTATTTGACGGAAGGTCTCTACTAAGTGTTGTGAACTTAGCCCTTGTGAAACCGGATATGAATACTCGAACGGATTGGGTTCGGTATTGGGAATAGGTATGATGAACCTATTTGGAATGGGTATAATAAACCCTCAAAGAATAGGTATAATGAACCTATGCAAAATGAGTATGATAAACCCACAAACAATAGGCATAATAAAACCTATGTTGTTCGTTCTAGGTTCACTAGGAACACGAAGTTATTCACCTTTTAAGAAAAACAATACTCCAAAATTCTTGAACTTCAATACTTATTGTTCTTTAATTCGACACTTATATTATGATAAGAGAGTAGTTATTTTATGCTATGATGTTTAATGTGCATGGAACCATAATAACAATTTAAACGGAAATTCCATCTTTTTTCCATTTAGTATATGTATATGTACATTTTATATTGGGTTTCACAGCCTTAACCGTACTTTTGTAGGTTAACAACTTTAAACTTATTTCTTTAATATCTGACATATACATGCACAATTAGGTATCTTGATTTAAGTATAAACATATAGCTATTCAATCAGGTATGACTATATAGTAATGACTTATTACTATTTCTGTTATACCCCATAAGTAACTGGTTCCGTTTTCGTTTATTGTTATTCAGCATTACAAAGTATGATCATACTACACCATAGTACCTTGAACTTACAATTCACAGCTTTTATTTATCTCTTCTTAACAGTTCACTTCGTACCCTTATATCTAGAATATCAAGGCTTTAATAACCCTTAATTGTTATGTATATTTATCCTATATGAACTTAATACTCAGTAACATTCACAACTTATATTTATTAGTTATCTCTATCAAATAATTTGTTTATAACCATACTTACGTGACATAAAATGAAATCTTGGTTTATCAACACTCTTCTCTGTATATGATTATATATGTACTTAACGATAGTTGTTTTGCTTTATTTCATTTGTTTTGAATCATTTTCATCTTGATAATAAGATCGAACTATATGTATTCTCCCCCAAACATTGATATACAAAATAGGGGTCGTAGAACTCACGTTGATTTGAGAGTCGGAAGTGTCGGGAAGCTCCTGTTCTAAGCGGGATTTGGAACGGAATCTTGGAGTCGACCTAGACGTCACATGGCAGAAAAATAATGGAATCAGGAATTATACACACTTGACTAAGACCAAACCGCCACCGGGATCGTCCGGTTAGAACTGTTCAGGCCACCGGCCACCATGGCAGGTGCCTAATGTTCACGGTGGTTGCTGGACGAATTTTGATCAGAGAAGGTAAGGAATTTACCTGAGGTCGATGGAGGAGCAAGGAAAAGATGTGCGGAAGCTGTTTGATAGTCGAACAAATGAAGGCAGGAGGGGAAAATGGAAGTAGTCGCTGCTTCTTTTTTCACTGGTAAGCTGCGTCTACAGGCCTGTTTATGGTCAGGGGTTTGCTTCAACTGGAATCGGTGGTGATCAGGGAGCTTTTGGGTTGGTTTTCCATTGGAGAAAGAGAAGGTACAAGGAACTGGGTTTGAGATGAGGAAGACAATTCTAATAGCTGCTGAATCTCTTCTCTGTTTATTGGAGAAGATACGGAAGTAGAGGCATGCGCAGGTGATGGAAAATGAGTGGGACCTTCAAACAGGAATAAGATATTATGAAGCTTCTCTATATCTCTTTTACAGCTGTGGATTTTGGCAGAGATTGGAGTTGTACAATCGAGATTCATGAAAGATATGCACATGTGCTGAATTGTGTGTGTAGTTTAGGGAAATCGTGAGAGGGAAGGAAAGATGAGTGAGGTGGTTGAGAAACTCTATCTTCCTTGAGATATTTGATTGTGTTTCTTCACATGGCTTCATTTTACTAATGCAGATATAGAAGATATTGAAGTACTTGCCACAGTTCTCATAGATATTGAGTACATGTTGTATCTGTGAGCTTGTAGTTGATAGAGAGATGAAAGGGATAGAGAGG